ATTGGCCACTGGTGCCCCTGTCTGCTTCTTCCTGCATCACTGGGGGCTGTGGAAGGTCTGGCGAGCCTCTTGAAGCTGGAATGCAGACAGTGAGCCAGCTGGATGCAGCCGCCTGCATCCAGCTCTTGATTCCACCAGGGGAGGCTCTGTCTCCGGACAGGGTCCTTGAGGGTCACACATAACTGTGGGCAGGAACTGGGCCCAGCCCTGCACTCAGAGGGTCAACTTCTGAGACTAGAGAAAACCTGTCCTTCGTGAGTTAGGAATTGGGAGTCGGGACCTCCCACTTGAAACTTCACGTGACCTCTTGAACAGAGGGATGCAGAAGCTGCCAGCCCAGCCAGAGCTATGGACCGGAGCAGGCCTCAACTCCTGGCTTGCTCAGCCCTCAGTGCGAGGACAGGCTAAGAGGACCCTGTGGAGCAGACCAGGGGAGGCGACATCACTCCCTGCCTGCCGTGGCCCCAGCTGGGTGGGGCAGGAGAAGGAAGGTTCTGGGAACTGCATCCCACCCACTTGCAGCTGGCTCTGCCCCTCAGCTCTGTTGCCCTCTTTGCCTCGGGTCAGCCTCTGGCCCTCTCTCAACCACCACTGGCCAGCTTGTTTCTGACCTGCTAAAGCCCAAGTAGAAACAGGAACCAGTGAAGATCCCCCTGCTCTGAGCTTGCTCTGGGGCCTTGCTGGTAGCTATCATTGCTCTGGTGATTCCTCCAACTGGGAGGCCACATGCAAACTCTGGACACACAGGGAGAAGGTCTGTGCGTCCTGCTTCCTGGAAGGAAGAATCCTGAAGTAACTATTTCCTGTTCCCTGGGGATGACAACGCTTCCCTTCAAAGGAAGTCTTCTTATCCCCTCCTAGGGCTGAAAGTGAGTGGATACAAACCCAGCGGTCCTTCTGGGAGTGGAAAGCCCTGCTGGGTGTCCTCCAACAAGAGAGTAAGGGAGAGAACCTGGGGAAGGTGGGCAGACTTGTTTCTGCTTATATTTTTGGCCATGATGGGTAGACCAGTCTGGAGAAGACAGCCAGCCATCAAATTCCCCAGTAATGTGGATGTGGGAGAAATAGTTATCTCAGGTTAACTGTCGCAAGATCACACAACATGGAAGAGGTGGAGCCAACCCTTGAAACTTGGGTCCATCTGAACCCCAAGCCTGCCTCTTCTTTCCATCTTAGGTCCTCAGTGCTGCGGACAAGTGGGGGACTGCAAGGGCAGACTGCCTGAGTGGAGAGTCAAGGGTAGGAGTCCAGAGAGAGGGTGGAGGGGATGGGATCCACCCAGACCAGCCCCATGCTTGGCCAGACTCTTCCCCTGGCTAAGAAATGTGCGGGTGCCCCTTGGGATTCCTAGCCTCTTGTCTAGTTACCACAGGTAAGGACTGACCTCGTCTTTCCCTTACTTACGTTCTCCTGTCCCACCTGGCCATCCACTCTTCCCTGCCTTGTGTTCCTCTTCCCTAAGCTTTTGTTGTAGACCTGGCTGCCAGAGTGTTCATGGGCTCTGCCCCCCTGGGTACCCTCTGGCTGGAGAGGCTTCTGAGTTCCAGAGCCAGGGAGGAGGAGACTGATGCAAGAGGAGCCCTAAGCACGGTGAGTAATGATACGGAAACTTGTACATCAAGGGGACCCCAGTACTCAGAAGGGAAGTGACCTGCTGGAGGGCACATGGATAGTGGATGGCTGAGCTGGAATTCCAGTTCAACTCTGTCCCCATCCCATCTTTCACTACTTATGGACATGCATTCATTAGCCAGCAGAAGCAAGCAGAGGGCTACCTCTACCTGGCTTACTTTACACTTCAGAACACCATTTTTGTGTACAGTTAAACATGGAGATGTTGAGAGCAGGAGGGTAGGTTGTATTGTTCGCTCAGGCAAAGGAAAACACCCAGTCAGGGTGCACCCAGTTGCAGTCCTCATAAAACTGACCTGTGCAGATGTTACGGTCGGTAGGGTGGTGTGGAGAGGCCGGCAGAACGCAGGGTAGGACATATGGGAGACGCCTCATGTTCACATGACAAAGGATGATGGGAAGCAGGGAGGGTTCCCTGAACATCTTTATCCAGGGGCCATGGCTCCGTTTGCACAAAATATTTCATTCTTGCGACAAGATAGAAATTGTTGCCCTGTTTACCAATAGGAATTGTAACCGCAGCGAGAGCTTCAGTAACTCACTGCATGTCACAAACAAGTGAGTGGGAATTCGAGATTCTAACTCGGGTCTCTCTGGAGTCTGCACATCTTCCTCTAAACTGGTTCTAATGAAATCAGTAGACCCACAGCACCTTTGCTGGCTCACAGTGTCAGAAGGAGAGCCACTTCTCAGTATAGACTCCATTGCAGTGATTATCTTGGCAAAAAATCCCCTGGACTGGCTAAGTCCCCAGCACCTAGCCTGATGTCTGACACATAGTAGGCCCTCAATAAATGGCTGTTTAAGCTTTAACAGGAATGGAGGAGGCAGTAGGCACAGAGGACACTGACCCTTCTTTGGAAGTAGATGAGGTTCTGATGAGGGGCTCCCCAGGAAAGCCCCAACCTCCTTGCAACACCCAGCACTCCTGCCGACTGTGACCACCTTCCGCAGACAACTGACCCTGCACAGGGTCTTTAAGCTGCAGGGGACTAGGCTGGACTCTCCACAGGGAGAATCGCCCAGATGTCACCGGCTCCCTGTCCTGTGAGCTCAAGATCTAAGACAGATGGTGGCCGCGGATGTGACCTGGACATTCCACAGAATACAACGCATAACCCCCGGCCCACTGGATAGAGCGGGAGGCCTCACCCTTGGCAGAGACTAGAACAGGGCTTTAGACACTGAAACAAACAGCTGTCCCTGCTAGCGGAACTTCCTTCCGTGCTCCTTAGCTCTTTCGTGGCAGCTTCTCTGCCTGGAATGTGGCAAAAATTGTGTCATCTTCCCCACTGAACAAAACCTCCTCTAGGGTCGTGACTCTGCTCCTCTTTGTTCCCCCAGCACTAGCCACCAGGGCTTTTGAAAGCCTGAACGAAGAAAGGAGAACATCTCCTGTGGACTGGGCGCTCAGGGCACTGTGCTGGCGAGTGGTGGACTTTCTGGACTCACATGATTCACTGTCAGCTTGTCAGTCTCTGCCCTGCTTATGGGAGGAATGCCCAAACCACTTGGGCTGGTGGGGAAGGGATATCCAACCCTGTTTCAGAACCTGGAGGGTGCCTTGGGAGCCCTGCCTGAGTTCCCTTCCAGAGGCCAGGGGGCTCCTTGGTGAGAACTGTGGCCGGCACATCCAGGGATAGGTAAGCAGATAGAAGCCTGTGAGAGGACTTTGAGAAGAAGCATCCTGTGTTTTGACTGCTCAGACAGGAACAGGGAGAGGGCAGCTTGGCCGAAGCTGGCGGATCCTGAACCTCCTTGAAAATGATGTGAGAAAGGGGAGGCCAAGCGAATGATCTCTGAGGCAGCTCAGTGCGGTCAGAACTCTGGGATCCCAGTGAAGGAAGTCACCAGCAGGGACTTAGCTCTGTCAAGCAGCTAGCTGTGGGGTGCCGGGGACTTTGCTGGCCTGACTGCTAACCATTATCTAGGGCCAAAGGGTGGATAGTGGGACTCATTCTAGGGGGTTTTATGGGGGCTCACTCTGGGGTCCTGCAGCTTCTGGATTGATACCTGGTAAGAATCTCAGCCCAGCAGAGACAGAAAGCGCCAAGTCAGCATCTCTGGCCCCATACCTTCCTTGCAACGATGGGGAAAGATTTATCCAAGGCAAGGGTAGTAAAAAAGGAGAAAACAACATTGAATTTGTTATTTCCAAAAACAGCACTGAGGTGGACAGCACAGGAAACAATAAAATTTATATTACCATTTCCTAGTGTTTTTATTTGATTACTCATGGTGGCAGAACGTGAATCTTCTTTGCATTAGGGTCTAAATGTCTCCGTCCAGCTCTGAGCCCCGACGTCCCAAATAACTTTTCTAAGGTCGCTCAGGAAAGGAGAGAATGACGTGGGCCTGGACTCTCTGACACCCCCTAAGTCCAGGGCTCTGCGCTGCAGTGACCTGTTGCATAATACGGAATAACTGTGGCTTGTCTTCTCTTTTATGAAATTTCCATTTGATCCTCTGAGATCCGCCAACAGTCCGGTTGCTGGTGAGAGCGATGCTGTCTTCTGGAACGTCCAGGGACAGATTTTCCCTGGCTTTCTGGATACAGCCCCCATCTAGCAAAATCACGACATCCCTCTGCGACAGGGACGCTGACACAGGGTTCACGCAAATGCTAAAACAAGACTTCCAAACGTTGGCGCTCCGCACCAGGCACGGGGGCCCTGCCTCCCCCTCCCCCATCTTTGCCCGGGTGGCTGAGCCCTGGGCTCCGCCCCTTCCCCACCCGGCCCGGGGAGGGGTCCTGCTCCGCGTGGAGGTAGCGGCCGCTGGAGACGTTGGCAGAAAGAGGCGGGACGCAGGGGGCGCCAGTGGCCCGGGTCTGGCCGCCTGGGTCAGCCGTGCGCCCCCGCCCCGCCACGCGGTGAAGTTTGCGGAAAGTTTTGCACAGCCAGCCGGGGAGTTGTGACGCAGCGTCTGGGGCTCCAAGCCCGGACCGAGAAGAGAGGGAAGGCGAGGCGGGGAGAGAGGGAAGCGGACAGCGAGAGAAAGAGAGTGCAGGCCGGGGTCCTCCTCGACCCCGCGGATCCTCCTCTCCCGCTTCCCCTTCTCCCTCCCGGGCCCCGCGCCCGCCCGCTCTTCCTCCCCTTCCCCACCCGCGCTGCCCGCTTCCCTTCCCCGCTGCCCCTCCAACCCTCCTCCCCGGGTCTGCGCTCCTCCCTCCGCCCTCCCTCCGCCCGGCCTGCCTCCTTCCCTCCTCCTCCTCCCCTCCTCTCCCCGGGAGGCATCACTTCGCCCCGACCCGGAGGAAGACGCGAGCCCCTCGCGGGTGGTCACCACAGCCCAGCGCCCCTGCAGCCATCGCGCGCCGCGCCCGCGCTCCCTCGGTCCCCGCATCCCCCGAGCGCCACGCCGCGGGCATGGGGCCCGGCCGGCCGGCCCTCGCGCCCTGGCCTCATCACCTGCTGCGCTGCGCCTTGCTCTTCGGAGGTCTGCACCTCGGCCGCCCCGCCGCCGCCGCCGCCGCCGCCGCCGCCGCCAACTCCCTGTCGGGTAAGGCGCTTCCAACTTGGTCAACTTCGGGGGCCGGGCGGGGGGAGCACCGAGAAGCGGGCCTCTCTCGACTTTTCCCTCCCCCCCCCCCCCGCCTTTGCAGGACGTGTGTGCGTGTGTATGTGTATGTGTGTGACTGGGTTTTAAAAAATCGTCTCCGCTTTTCTGAAAGCGGGGCGGGGGCGGGGGGCGGACAGGGGTGAGGGAGGAGGAGCGCGCCTGGAGGTGGGGGAGGACCTGAGTGGAACCAGATGTGGCGGGCGGCGGGGGATGGGAGCCCGGGGGTCTCGAGCCGTCTCGGAGGAAGAGGGCGGGCCCCGGGAGGACCCCCGCGCCCGCCTTCTAAGACCACCCGGCGCCTGCCCTGCGCTGGGCCCGGGGACCTGCAGGGCGCGTCCGGGGAAACCAGCGGAGACTCCAGGCCAGGCTCCGTGCTTTGCTTCGGGACCAAAGCGTTATTGTTGTTTTTGAATTATTCGTGAGGGCTTGGTTGCCCTTCCCGGCACCTCGGGGGTGTTGGTATTTTCTTTTCCACACTTGGTCTTCAAAGGACAGCCCGTGGCAGGCGGCATCCGCATCAATTGAACGGAGCTCTGTGGGGCAGTTTTGTCATCAGAAGGATGTAGCAGGCTTCGGCAAGGGTGTGTGTGTTTGTGTGTGTGTGTAGTGAAGAGAGTGTTGTGTGGGCGGCTCTGACCCAGCTGGCAGCCCTCCAGAGTGGACAGATCTTGGATGGCCAGAGAGCTGCTAACGATGCATGGACCCGAGCAGCAAAAACAGAAACCCAGAGCTGGGTCTTCTCTTCCTGCTGCTCTTTCAAAGGGTGACGCTGAAGTGTGGGGACAGACAGACCCCCTCAGCAGTAATCCCAGGGGGAAAAGGGAAGCTCTGCTTGGCGTGGGCGGGGGGGGGGGGTGGTACGCAGGAGTCAGCTGGAACTGCCAGGGAGTGTAGTTATTACAGCCCAGGTGCTGGGCCTGTGAAAAAGGCTTGGTCTTGTTTTATGTTTAATTTGGGGATGAGGCTGAGTGAAAGGGGACAGTGCAGCGTGTGCAGTTTTGTGCAAAGCCCAGACAGTCCCCTGGAGGATCTGGGACCTCTAGCTGTGGCCAGTGCTTGCGGAGTTTGCCTGCCCGTAGAGGACCGAGACACGTATCTGCCCAGATTGTGCCCAGCCACTGTGTGAGCTGGGGGCCAGGGTGACGCATATTCATGCTGAGCAGACCTCGCCTGCTGAATTCCAGACCCACCTGGAACTGAATGTCAGACAAACAGAATCCAGGCAGTAACTCCCCATCCACTGCAGGTCAAGGCACCCAGGTTGCCCCCTGCTTTGCTGCTCTCCTGCCTGCAATTTCGCCCCCTGTGAAGGCAGGCCCAGTGGGAGGGGTGGAGGAGCCATTTCCAGAGCCCCAGAGCACGTTGTAAAGCCAGGCAGGCCCTGGGAGGGTTGTGGCCAGAGTGCTGACTCAGCCTTTTCCCCTGTGGCGCCTTTGACAGAGTGAGCTGGAAATGCCTGGGGAGAGGCTGGGTCAGGGGGACTGCCTGGAGTGGCCCTCTGCCTCTGGGTCTCCTCCTGGCCCCCCTTTGCCCTTCCTCGGGCTGTGTCCCTGGGTTTGTAGCCCCCATAGCCTTGGAGGGGCCTGTCCCAGCAGCACTGCATTGGTCACTCTCGAAGAAGCTTAGGTGTGAGCAGGGGTGCATGGAGGGGACCCTGGGTGGGTATGGCCTGGTCCCCAGAGCAGCAGTTGAGCAAGACGTTGCAGGTCCTTCCCTGCTGTGTTCCCTCTGCCCAGAATACTCTTCTTCCAGCAAATTCCTTCCTCATCCCCCTCTACCTGATGAATTAGGTGGTCCCTGGGAAGAATTTACCAGCACCAGGATCCGAATGGCCCCAGGAAATGCTTGTGGCAGATAGGATTTGGTTTGGCAGGCCAGCGCTGCTGGGGTGAAACTTACCCTGGGGGCGGGGTGCTTCCTGACCACCAGGAGGGGAGAGGATGGGAGACCGCAGAGCCCCTTGGTGTGGGATGGGAGAATCCATCTTTTCTCCACCATCCCCTGTGGAGTACCCAGAGGGGCACCCACACAGCTTGTGGCTGGTAGACTCTCTGTTAATTGCAGTACTGATGCATTTTTGTAGATTTTACTGCTCAGCACTGAGCCAAATACTTGGGGAGGAAGGAAGGTACAGAGGAGTTAAAGTTGCATCCTCAGAGAAAGAAAATGTTGGTGGCAGAAGAAACTGTGTGAGGCAAGGGGTCACCAAGACCCCCAGGAGGGAGGCAGGGAGGGGAGCAGAGCAGGGAGACCGGGAAGGCAGGCTGGGCTGTGCTGGAGAGGCTGTGGAAGCTGGCTGGGCTGGGGTGGAGAGATCCTGAGTAGGGTGGGGGAGAAGCTCGACTGAGAGGAAACTGGCCAGGTTTCCAAGAGGCCAGAGTGGGGGAGTGACTTGCTGGCTGGCGGTGGGGAGCCCTGGAGAACCCCTAGGAGTTTCTGAGCAGAGGAATGAGGTGCGGATTAGAAAGAGGGCTGCTGGGAGCCCTAGGATAAGGTGTCCAGGTGCAGGAGCGAGGAGACCTTGGGAAATCTTTCTAGGGGGGCAGACTCTGCTGTCTAAAGGACAGGGAGGAAGGCACTCCTTTGGAAAGGCATCAGGTACTTGCTGCTACTGCCAGACAGACAGATCGCCTGCACTTCCGGCCCAGGTCCTGGTGAGTCATGCAGTTCAGAGGGGGCAGTTCTTAACTGCCCCCATCCGCCCATCCACCCACAACAGTCAGTCTTCCTTGCTCCCCCGACCACTTGCCTTCTGTGAGCTGCCAGGGCTGAGACAGTGCCCAGCTGAGCTGTGGTTAGCTCTGAGATCCGGCCCTCCCCTGGGGTGATGTGAACAAGGTGAGGGCGTAGGCAGAGGAGGAGGCGGCGGCCGGGGTCTTGGTTCCCATTGCGCAGAGTAGAGAAATCTCAGCTTTCTGAGGCCTGCAGGGTGCAGTTGATTTGGGCCGATGAGAGGATTTCAGAAGCCCCATGAAGTTCTCAGAAGGGCATTCACTTGGATTCACCACTAATTTCAGCATTGACTAGGAGCTCCATTGCGCCCTTCAGCAGGGTGAAGGGGTATCGCAGTGACTACCATTCTTCAAGCACTGGTGCTGTGCTGCATTCGTGCTGTTCATACAAGAGTTCCTCCGGGTCTCATCACCTCTCACACGTTGGCTGTCAGCAGCTGAAAGATGTTAGGTTGTTTGCATAAGACCCTACCTCCACACCGTTAGAACATGGTGAAAGTGAGATTCGAACCCAGGTGTGGCTACTGAGCCTGAGCACTTCAGTACCGGGCCTCGCTGAGAGTCTAAAATAAGTATGTTAGGAAAGGCTGGAAAATTCTGTCGTCGAGGGTACCGCCCAGAGCTCCAAGTCCTCTGGAATGTCCTCTCCACGTGTCCTCCAGAGGGGAGTCCCGGGAAGGGGAGGTGGGCATCCTCTGTCACCCCCCCAGCTGCCTGGGCGCTGGTCTCTGCCCCCCCGGCCCGTCCCGGGGACCCCAGACGCAGGACACCCCCCTTGGTGTCCTCAGGGGGTCTGAGGTGCCTGCTCCCGAGGGGCTGAAGGGGTCGGATGGAGCAAGAGCCCCACCACCCCGAGGTCAGGGGTTCGTGGTCATTCAGCCAGTCTGTCAGAGGATGTTTACTGAGCCTGGGCGGTGCTGCAAGCAGGAATGACCTCCGCCTGTTCTTGTGAGCCCACCTCCCCTGCACCCCCAGTGGGGGTCCCTGGGCTTGGAGGGCCTGGGCATTGCCGACAGGAAGTGTCCTTCCTGTTTAGTCCGTTATGAGATGGGGGGTGGGAGGGCGGCCAGTTTCCCATAACTGGATCCTATAAATCTGGGTGGGGTGGGCCATCGAGCGGTGACGCAGCTCTTGGACCTCGCCCTGGGCCCTGCAGATCCCAGTTACTCCTCAGCGGGAGCTGTGTCGTCAACAGGCAGCGGGATGAAGGCTGCGCAATGGCATCAGCCAGCTCCAGCTCCTCAGAGCACAGGCTGGGCTGGGCCCCCACCCTCGGCTGCGCGTGGAGCTCCAGTGGTTAGTTAGGCTCCTTCCTGCCCTTCCCCCTCTTTGGGTCCTCTGTCCCTTCTGAGCCCCTTGACCATGTCATCCTGCCTGGCTGGGCGCATGCTGTCTGCCTCTCCTCAGCTCTGCCCTCCCGCAACTTGAGTTCCTTTGACTGTGCATCCTGTTCCCCAAAAAAAGCCCTGGTTGTGTTAGAAGGTGGCTAGGAACCCTCAGCTTCTTCTCAGCCCCCCACGCATTCCGCCTGCTCTCCTCCTTCCTCCCGGAACCTTCGCGCCTGCCTCACCCCCTGCCACCTTCAGGCCTTTGCGCGCACCCTTCCGTCTGCCTGGCACGCCCTCCCCTCTTCTGGCCTGACTGCCACCGCCCTTCCTTCAAGACTCAGGAGTCTCAGAAGGACCCCGACGGGTCCTGGTCACTGCCTCTTGGGCTCCCCTGGGCTAAGGAGACAAGCTGACAGAGGGCTTGTCAGCCCTCCGAACACAGGGATGACCGCCAGCGTGGAGGGGTGGGGGGCGCTTTTTTTCTCTTTTTCTTGGGGGTCATCTCCAGAAGGACATGGTGAGAAGCTGCTGTGGTGGGCTTGAAGCTCCTACAGGGAAAAACAGGAAGCCCGTTGCCCAGCCTCTCCCGACATCCTCAGAAAGTGTGTGGAATGAGGGGCAGACACAGCTCGCCCCCAGGTAGACTGAGGCGGAGGGGCCCGGCTGGGATCCCGCCCCCGCTTTGTCTTATAAGCTAAAGCAGCAGAGCTGTGTGAACTCGGGCAGAGGCTCCCGTTTCTTCATCTGTAAAAATAAAGTAATAGTCCCTCGTAGGGGTGTCATAAGAAATGACATAAAGAAATGACATAATAGATGTATGAAATACATGGAACAATGCTGGACAGTCACTTCTTAGCAAGTAATATTAAATTAGTGCTAT